ATAAATGAAAGAAATTTATTTCACAAGACCCATAAAAGAATAAAATCAAGAAATCATGGTAATCACTTCATCACGAATTCAAACTTTTGCGCGTCGAACAGGATACTATACATTTTGCGAGGATCCACATTGTGTTGCAAGGAGAGCTCGTCTAGTGAAGTTTTACCATTACACGCTTTCAGAAGTCTGTAAATCGAATAAAAAATTTCAATTAACCTATTTATACCAAAGCTTACGAATTGTTGCCGGGATTTACTGTACAGATCGGATACACAGAAAGTTTTCGGAGGAATTGATGGTGCATGCCAAATTGAACAAGCCGATGTTCATCAATTCCTTTGGCTCTTGGATTCTCCTCTTCTGTCCAATCTCCGATATTTTTTCCACATTGAATGGAAGAAAGATAGTCTTCTGGAACACCATCAGCAGTCTCATTTTGAGCAACTTTCATGCTCAAATACAGTCGGAATACATCAGAAAACTCTGGTGTCGGCATAGGAATCTCCGATCCATCCTCAGCAATTGCATTCTGAATTTTAACGAATTCAAGACATTCGTTGATCTCATTTCGATTCTTGTAAAAGTCGTGGACTCGTTCAGTAGCCACATATGTATTGTAGTAGAGAAACATTGGAACCAGACTGACACATTCGTAGAAATGAAGATTCCGAACACATCTGGCGACAAGCGAAGGGTCCAATTCCAAGTTAATGGCGATTTCTCGGACTGTGTTGATTCCGTCGATTTGAGGAATGATTTTTTGAGAGAGAACGTCCATTTTTTCAACAAGTCGATCGGTGAGTTCTACTTCTCTTATGAACATTGGCACCATGTGGTAATCGATCTCTGGAGGTTCACATCCACGATACAATGGGCATAGTTTGAAGTACAGTGAAACTATTTTATCATCTTCGAGTGTAACTTCAATCACACTTTCTCCTGAAAAGGTTTTATCGGATTCCTTAATTTTTAAAAACGAAAAGATGTTATTACCTCTGGTAGAAAGATCCACAAACATTTTTTCCATAACTTCTAACACATGTGTTTTATACTTGGGATTCGTTAAAAAGTTGTACTCCATCTCCAACTCAATGAGATATTCCGCACACTTTTGAACAATCGGTTCATACATTGTTTCTGCAGAAGACGTCATGTCAACGATGAAAGACATGTCAAAAGTGAAGCGACCACGTTCGTAACTCTTGTGATCTATTCCAACAGGAAACATGAGAACTTTACATCCAAGAGAATTGACAGTAAGGGAGAAGGAATGACGGAACATGGAAGGTTTAGGGATGATGAGACCTAGAAAAAGGAATTGGGTTGGGACGTTCATCAAGGCTTACTTTTGGTAAAGGCAAATGTTGCTTCAACTTTATCGTTTCCTTTTGGAACAGAGTGTCTGATAATAGGACCTTCTCGATTGTCAAACTCGGCGAGAAGAATTCCGAGCAATTTGGGAGCATCATCAAATGTATAATGTCCGAAACGACCACCAATCGAGTCACCTGTGGCAAAAGGGCCTGCTCCAAATGTTGCGAGGGTTCTTTGCCGTTGAACCATTTTAACGTCGTTTCGTTTTGTTGGTATAAGGTTTGCAAATGAAAGATCGGAGGCTGCTGATGATTAGGCCAACAAACGCACCAACGATGGTCCCGGCAAGAGATGGCAATGGATAACGCTGAAATACAATTTTTCTATGTCAAACATAATTCCTCATACCTGCCACCAGCGATCCCAGTCCAAAGGATGGACAGCAGCAGCTGCCCAAGCGCCGAAAATGGCAAAAATGGAGGTGAGAATATAAATGGACTCTTTTGTAGTTTTGGTATAATCAGCAGAAAACGCAAGAAGCAAAACTTCGAGAAATCTTTCCTCTGAATCGAAGATGAGAACTGCTGGTAATGCCGTAACGAGAGTGAGAGTAGCCTGAAATAATCGCTTGCGAAATTATTCTCTAATTTGGTCAGCATACAGCAAGTACAGTAGTCGCAATGATATCTGAAAAGAACGGCGCACCGAAAAGGACAGCAAAAGTGTAGAAAACCGCGAATGAAAGAGTGAGGTACTTTGCAGCGGTCAGTGTAGCAAGCATAAGATGATATTCCTGGAAACACGAATTTCAGGAATTTAAAAGGTATACAGATCAAAAATTTGGCTTTGCAGTTCGGATTTATTTTGTGAGATCAGAAGAAACTGATAAAACTCAGTAAGAATCGTGCAGAGTGGAGCTAACACATGAAAACTGATAAAAAATAATTGTTTCAGAAAATAATGCAAGAGAAAATGTTTTTTTTTCAAAAAGGCTCCATAGCGCGTAATTTGTTTTGCTTGCGTACTCAGTGCAAAAATCTTTTTCAGCCAATTTGCAAAAATAGTTTTTTTTCAGCTGCAGATTCGAGACCGTACAAATCCGCAAGAATCGAAATCCGCAAGAAACGGAAGCTCAAGAAACGAATCGGCAAGAACGCTA